GGTTTGGGTAGTGACAGAGCCTGACCGTAGAGAACTTGATAATGTGGACTTTCCATGGAACTTGCATGCAATGGATGGGATGGATTTGGAAGCCAAGGGCTGGAAGAATCCCTCGCAAGTCGACGATGAAGAGTATGAGAGGATGGTCGATGTCAATGGCAGTGGTGGGTCCGCCGTCCGAGTTGGATTCCGTCGTGCCAGGATCTAAGCGCCTTCTGAGTACCTAATCCGGAAAGCGACCTCTTCCCACGCAGACCAGAGAGGAGGATGAAGCTAGATTAGGTATTCGTCGTGATATTTCCGTTCTGACTATCTCAATATACATGCAATGCCTCCCCTGTTCATAATCCGTCGTTTTTTCGTCGCTCAGACAGCTGGAACGGCAGCAAATTAGACTGACGCGGGAGTGGGCCGCGAACACCAATCGGAGGAGAGGGAGGGGTGGATGGGTGTAGATTGAGGTTGGATGACCTCGATGTAATGGTGCAGAGGCGTTGCTGGCACTAGGCGCAAAGCAAACACAAGCTAGAGTCACACAAGGGATGTCTAGCCCACAAAGACCAAGTTAACATAGCTCTACATACATACAGGCAATCGAGATACTCACCTAGCCCACAAAGACCAAGAGGTCGAGATGAGGGCTAGGACATGAAGTGCAAGTGCTAAGTGAGGGCGCGACACGGGCGCTTAAGCGCGGGAACAACCTTCCAAAGGCAGGGAAAAGGCAAAGAAAAGGCGAAAAATAATACATAGGGCGAGTCCAGAGTCCGTTCCACGACATAGACACCGTGACATTCTGTGGGCGGAAAGTTCATGGCCCTCCGTGACAGATTGATCGAAAGTTCATAAGCCTCCATGATGCGTGACATGAACTTTGGGTCAAAATGGTACAGTATCCGACAGCTTAGCCGAGCAGAGTTGATGTTTGCTGCGTGACCCGCACCGTGACCAAGCCTTGGCGAAATTTCTCATAACTAGGGTCTGCGGCTGGTTCGTTCACTAGGGGCACAATATGTACCCGTTTCCTCTGAAATGTTGCAAATCGCTTTCTTACGACACTGTTAGCATGTGGAAAAAAACCGAAGACTATCGCAGCAGTAATGGTTGAGATTCTCATGGTTTGATCTCATGGGCGCTCACATTTCTCATCACTAGGGTCGTGCTAGTATTGTACATGTGCAGCTAAGTAGATACAACGAAACATTCTGATCTCTACATCAGCAAAAGGTGTTTTTTACGGTAGCGCTCGATAGCACGTGACTCTAGTGTTGCGATGGCTCGGCTTTGGCTCGGCTCGGCTCGGCTCCGGGCAGCTCCGAGGGAGCCAGAAATGGAGCTGTGGCTCCAAAATTGGCTCTAATGGCCTGAGCCAGGGTCCGAACCGATGGAGCCACCAAGAGCCGTGGTCATCGATTAGCGCCGGTGATCGCACAAGGATGTATGTTTTGTGGCACAACTGAGGGGCAGGAGTTAGTGATCACCACGGGTGCGGGCCACCCGTGCGGGTTGGTGGGTCAGGTACCACAGGTAAGGGTCCAGGTCATGCTCAGCTGACCCGTGCACCCGCAGGGTGAACCCTCAACGACCTGTGACAACCCATAGACTCAGAGCACACTATACATGTAATAAATAGTCTTGTATTGAATGAAAAGGGATTATATGGCGCGAGGCGGACCTAGAAGTCCCCTCGCTCCTCACCGTGGCCAACTCCTTGACGGCGTGCACGCGCCTTGAAGTGCTCACACTCCCGCTTGCAGACATCATGGCGGCGGCGAACATGCGCGTGCTGGAGGCACAGACTGAGGTGGAGAGCACGGTGGGGTCCAGGTCCTCAGCCCCACTCTGCCCACCCTCCAACTTGCATGCGTGGCGAGGTTGCAGTTCGCCTCATACATGAGCCGTGCGAACGCGAGCAGCCCCTCATGGACCTCGTGCGGGAACGCTGCAGTCTGGCCACGACATGTACAGTAGGTGCTGCAAGACGACGCAGGGCCTGACCAGTGCGCACAATGCGCAAGGCCGATGGCGACTAGCGTGCGGCCGAGGATTTGGTCAGAGGTGTTGAAGGTGCAGAAAGGTGCATACAATGTACCCACAGAAGACGGTGGGGAGGACGGCGCTGCAGGAGGACCTTGGTGTGACTAAGAACAATGAGGCCATGCCCAGGACTGTGGGGATGCGACCGTAGAGCATGTACACACACCAGACTTATGCGTATCGTGGGGGGTCTGTGCGTGCGAGCGAGTGGGGGTGAGTGCGCATCTTCTAATTTATGCTATTTGTTGTCCTCGCTCAAGAGCGTGTCGATGGGCTCATCGACGTCCATCTCACACTCATCCTGGACCTGTTGGTACACGTGGTCGACGTGTGCCACTCCGCCGTGCGTGTCAGCCATCTCATGGTCGTGTTCGTAGTGGCGGTCATCGTAGTCCAACGTCGAGGTCCGTGTTTTCGTCTTCATCGCCCTCCGCTACCCTCCCTGCCAAAATCACCACCCTCCGCGCCTGCACCTCAGCATCCTCCTTCTCCCTGTTCTCCACGCGCATCTCAGACGTCCCAGGCTCATGCGAGTTCCTCTCCTGCTCCACGTGAGCGTTGTATACTTGCTCCTCCGGATCTCGGGGTTGTGCATCTGCCCGGAGATGCCATCGTCGATGGTGATGCCAGAGATGAACTCGGAGGGGGAGTATGGGCCGTGCGCCTCGGAGTCCTCCCCCTCGTCCATCTCGTCTGCCTCGCCGTCTTCGCTCGTGGCGTGCGAGGGTGTCGCGGCGCCTGAGATGGGCACCAGGTTGGCCATGTGCGCGCGCAACGCGGTGCTGGGGACCCACCACCAGACGTTGTCCTCATACACGCGCGCGTGCGGCTTGCACACTGCTGATCGGATAAGAGCGGGGGGGAGGGGCGGGTAAACAGAGGGCGCAGACGGACGAAGCCGCAAGCAAAGGTGACATACATGTCATGAGGTTCGTCCACTCGTCACACGTGTATTCCACCGGGAGGGCTTTGAGGCCCTGCAGCCACGATATGGGCTGTCCCCGCGAGGTTTGAGCGAGGAGCGGACACCGAGGAAGAGAAGACTCACGTCCAGCTGCTCCGTGCCCACGCCGTGCTGCAGGATGGTGCGCATGACCGTCAAGTTGTCCTTCTGCCCACAGAGCAGGCATTGTCCCTTGTGCTGGCGGATGGTCTCCATGGTCATCTGGAATGGGAGGTACTTGGTGGGCGGGTTGTTGGTGATCGGGTGGGCAGTGGCCTCGCCCTTGTTGTGGAGCACGAAGTGCGAGGTGTCGCTGGCGACGCTGAGGGCGCTCTGCAGGTGTGTGGGCGGTGTAAACAGCTCAGAAAGGCTATTGAGGTCGGAGATCGTGATAGGTGTTGCGGACATTGTGAGAGTGGCAGACATGGCTAGGTCGGAGAGGTATCCCCCACCTCTGCATGTGCCCCACCGTGCGCACGCCCGGTGGTGCACTGAACGGCACATGCGCCTGGGAAGGAGCGGGGGAAGTACGTGTTCAGCACGTCCTTGCCTACCACGTTGCTCGGCTCCAAGAGCAGGAGGGGCTGGGCAGGGGAGACAGGTTGATGCTCGCAGAGGTTGAAGAAGAGCGCGTGGGTCACGGCCGAGAACGGCAGCTTCTCCAGCCATGCACCGAACGCGGGCGAGCGTATGGCGAGCGCACGCCGCATGCCCATCCACGTCTAGACCATACACTGTCCGGGCGTGCGTATGAGTGCTGAAAGTGGACACAGAAGACGAGGAAACTCACGAGGTGGCTGGCCTAGAGCCCAGACATACAGGCTGGCGTGAACTTCATGCTGCGGGTCCAGGGATCAAAGCACACCCTGCACCTCTCCCAGTCACTCTTCTGTCACGAACTGAGGCTCACCAGCAGATCAAATGAAAGCGCACCTTGTAATCGCACTCCCACTGAGCCGATGAATGCCATACCACCTCCACTCTATCTCCTCAAATGCGCCAAGGAGGTCGAGGTGTACTCTGACCAAGTTTGGCTGAGGTTTGAGAGCTACTGGGAAGGAGAGAAGCAGAGGGGAGGGGGAGGAAGGGAGAAGTTGTGAGTCACGACTGGCAAGCTGTGTGCAAGAGCCAACTCTGGTTGTCACACATGACTGACCTGTAGTCGCAAGGGCCGTACCCGAGCATACCCTGACCCATGAGCTCACGGGTCCGGGTTTCGTGGGTACGGGTACGGGTCAACTCAAAAATACCCAGGGGTGACCCGTGGTGATTACTAGCAGGAGTACCTTAGAACTGCTTTTTATGTGCTTCTATGAGGTGTAGAAAGTTTCAAGATTGTTAAGAGTATGATTGGACAAGGTCGACACTCTGAGAGTCTGACTAAGATCTCCCACGGACATGCGGTGCTGTGGCCATGTGACAAGTGAACTCAACTCCTGGAGTCGCTGGCTTTGTGTGCTTCTGATATACCAAGAAGGCTGTGGTCTCCTCACCCCCTTTTTCAGAGCCTTGGCCTCATCATAGCACAAGAGTCATGCACTGAACAGGCAGAAGCCCGAGACTTTGCCCGAGACCAGACGGTCATGGGTTGTTCTCTCCTGTGACCTGTCCCTCATGTCCGCAGCTCACTCCACCCAGTTGGGTGCAAGGAATTCCATTCACTCGGGCAAGGGGACATGAGTATTAGCTTGTGGCTAGCTTCTATGTGCCCTGCTCACCCTCTCCGGAGACAGGCACCTAACAATCTAGCATTGTCTTTGCACAGGCGCCCGATGCTGGCTCCAACCAGCGGCTCCAGTATGGCTGATTTCGGCTTTTAGCATCTAATAATCGGCTCAGAATTGGCTTGGGAAAAGCCGGTTTTGACAAATGGCTCAGCTCCGGAATGACTCAGAGCCGGCTCTAGAGCTGGCTCGAGCTGAGCCCTCCGCAACACTACGCGACTCTGCCAGATCGGGACAGGTCGTCTTTTGTCTGCATGACAAATGATGGTAAGGTATGCCCAGCACAGATATGACTATGCGTGATCCGTGTGACACACCACGTGCAAGTGACCAATAAGCCTACACAAGTCTAGCGTCTATGCCTGGATTAGCGCGCACTGTGCATGGTGTAGTCTTTATTGTGGACAGTAGAGTGATAGAGCCATTAATGTGTGTGTAGTATGTTGGGGAGGGATTGGTTGAAAGACACGGTGCTGATGGAGACAGATTGTCGGAAAAACAAATCGGCCTCGCAAGCCGAAGATCTGGTAAGCAGATTTTAATTAGATTGCGAGCCCTTGCGAGGCGCTGGTTGACTCGCGATGGCATCGCAAGCTCAATGGTGCCTTGCGAGGGATTACAAGGTGTTTGAAGTGATTGCAAGGACTTATCACCCATGAAACCATATTGCGAGGCCTTGCGGCAACCTTGCAGCACTGTGGACGCTCCAGCTGACGACAAGGGACTTGTGATATTTCACGACTAGTGCACGCCTCTCGAGTCTCTAGCGCTCCTCTCTCTGCTTCCACCACATCACTCACTCCCTGGCCTTGTCCTTGTCCTCCCCTCCCTTCTCATCTTGTCATGTCTTTCACCACTCCACACGTCAGATCTCATGTTCAGGTCTGTGTTGGTTGCTTTTCCTGCCCTTCTTCGCTTATTCTTTCCGCTCTATGTTCAGACTCAATGTCAGATGCTCATGCTGGCAGCAGGGCAGAGTATGGGCAACAATCAATGTATGTGTATGCTGCCTATTCACGCGTGCCTTGCTAATACTTTCTGTCCTGGCACAGGTCTTGTACCTCTTCTCATCTGACCACCCTTTGATGCCCATGCAGAGTGCACTCATTGCTTGACACTGCGGTAGGGGTTTGGCCGCCTATGTGTAAAGTGAGTCATCTATTACTGATACCCACAGAATGTTCAACAACTCATATACCATGTTGCCATATCTCTTTCTCAATTCCATTGTTCTTGCGCTGTCTGTATGAGTTCCCTGCATTGTACTGTAGCCTATACACATAACACCATAATGATTATAACAGAATATCTGGATTATAATGAGTGCACAAGCGGGTAATCGGCAATGGATGCAAGCCCGGACACCCAGTTGACAGGCAGGCCGACAGATCACGATGTCAGGTAACCTATTACAAGATGACATCAGACGCACAGTTGGATTGCGAGCTAATTAGCCTAGCTTGCAAGGCCTCGCTGCTCGTGAGGCCGATCACCCCAGAATTGCTTGCGAGGCCTTGCGAGCCCAATTTGGTTTTTCCAGCAATGGGCTTGAGACATAACAACCGACACAAGTCAACTGTCACAACTCAGTAGACGATGTGCTGGGGGAAGCACAGGGCACATCTGGACCATGGTTGGACTTTGACTCACCACCCTATCATCAATCAGCATCAATAGATCGGCAAAGACCTTCCCACACCCATTGTGCAGCGTCGTTGAGCTAGCACTGCTGGAGGACTGCGCTGCCTCAGAGCCCATGGTGTCAAGACTCAAGGGGAGCCAGGAGAGTGGCCTTCAGACACATTTGCTTAGAGGGTGAGCATGGGCAGGACTTCTGATATGTTGGCTTACCACAGCCTTTTGTTTTGTTATCCCCTCTGGCCCCACAATGGACAAAGTACTGTGTAGCCTCGGCACAGGTTGTCTGGGTGCTTTAGTGTAATATTTCGCTTAATTACATCTTGCTGATGTCTTGCTAAGCAGAATTTTGAATGAATCACTATCTTTCCACAAACTGGTTACTTTTGTATCTTCTGGCTTAAGAAAAATGTATACAGATGTCTGTGCAACACTATTCTTAAGAGACATTGAGGATACAGTGGGTGCTCGAAAAGCCTATCAATTTACAGTTGGTTCCCTTGCAGAGTGTGACACAATCAGGTCATGTGACTTAGTTGTGTCTGTGCTGGGCATACCTTAGCAGAATGGTAGCAGCTGGTATTCATTCGTCTTCGATATGACGTTTGATCACATTTTGTGGCCGCATACAAGTTATGATGGATCTACTACAGACACTAGTAGCTTAGACAGAAAGCTATAGTCGATGATATGATAATGATAGTAGATGATCATGTGCCCCTCCAAGGGTGATTCATGGCATGGGCGGGGTGCATGGTAAGTTTGTAATGAGCTATACGGTTAGTTCACGAGCACCTGAGCAGTGCACATGGCAGAGAACGTGGTGCACACAAGGATATGTGGACCCATGGCAGTGCGGGTGCCTGTACCACTTACAGATAGAGTATGGCGATAGCGAGCCTCATCACATCCCCTTCTCCTATCTAAGGCCTCTGTTCCCCAAATTTCTTCTTGACATCTCTTCTAATTTCTCGCTGCTCTGCGGAACCTTGTCGTACCATGTGTATTCACTTTATCAAAATGTCTACTTCTCTGGGACACAACTGAGACACAATTTATTCAACTGCGGACATTCAATTGTGTCCTTGCTCACCAATTGAGGATTGTCTTAGCCTTCCACGTTCCGTCTGATGGTATCTCTGTTTTACAATGAACTTAAGATGTGCTTCTCTGTCCATTAGGTATGCATTTCGTTTCTCTCTCACGTGTATTGAAGTGACCCTGTTCCCAAACAGTGAGACAGTCAGTGAGTAGTTCATTGTAGTGCCAGGTCATTTAAGCACCACAACCCTCAGGCTTGTCTGACACCTGGCATGTTGTCCATGCTTGTGGTGCCAGCACACCTGGGTATTACAAGGTACACTGGTGACCCCCTCTCATGGCAAACATCTATACCACGTCGAGCCATCTTGTTTGCACTACACAGGATTCTTGTTGCTGACGGCTTTGACTGTGCACAAGTCAACAGCGAATGTGTGGTATCAGGAAAACCCTCACTTGCATATTAGTGCTTACAGCTCTAACACACCACCTATGTAATGATCCACGTTATGTCATGCACCTTACGATCAACTCGGCTATCGCTTTTGGACTCACACTATGTACCTGCATTTTGTATCCCACATACCTTTGAGCAACCAACACACCATCTCCTATGACACCACACCCTACAGACGGCTCAGTGGTTGTCCTGCTCACCTGCGACTCTTCTGCGGGCAGGCTATGTGACGTCCCAGCCGCTGTAACACAGATAACAGAGTGATAAATTCCGCAAATCTGCAAATCTGCACTCATGTGGTTCTGATGAGTGCAAACCTAAGCTCACGTAGCTCTAACCCATGTATATAATACGCTCATGTAGTCCTAACTGATGCAAATTGCACCGATGTGTGCGAGGTGAGCTCCAAGTAGTGCTATTGATCTCTTAATAGACAAGTCTCTGCATAAACAAAAATAGATTTGTTTAAACATACATGAGCATAGTGAGCGAGATATTAGGGAAACCAGTCGTGACTCGTTGTCACATGGAAAGTCTTTACCGAGTTGTGGTTGGGGAGTGTGACACCACAGTGACTGCCTGTGGTCTTGCACTCACAGCGCATGAGCTCATACAGAAGACGCAGGGGTGACGTGCATGACATGGCAAGGTGGGCAAGGCATGTGCGCTGGATAAGGCAAGTAACAAGAGCAACGGAGGGGACACAGGCGAGGTGTCAACGTGGCGACGCAGGTGCAATGGGAAAAATGAGCGACATGGGTGACAACAAGGCATATTTGAACAAGCAACGGAAAACGGAGGGTATGGTGTGGCTGACACACCATGTTCGCAATCATGAGCTGTGCTGCAGCAGGCAAGGCATAGTGAGAGGTGGGTATGATGGCTGTGGGGGCCAGCGCGAGCACAGCGGACAAGATATTGTCCGTTGTTGAACACACCAGGCTGTATAGGTTGGTCAGTTGAGGAGGAGGTGGGAGAGATAGAGAGAAAGGCAGGGGACACACAATGGTGACCTCCTCAACAATGACAAGCTCGAGCTTGTCACCTGCGTCAGCGAACAGTGTGCGGAGGTGAGTGTCCCTGCTCTCCACATAGACAGTGCCGTGGACGGCCAAACCATAGTCGAGGAGGGTCCTGACTACCCAGACAGTGATGTGGCTGTTCGTGCCAGAGACAAAGACCTTACCAGACTTGATTGCTGGCATGCTGGACTTGAGTAGTGGCCTGTGAAGGTTACGAGAGGTGAGCGGGTGAATACGGAGTGGGAATTGTATTGCTCAGGGGAGACAGCAATGTTGAGCTTCGGGATGTCAAGGATGTTGAACATTGGATACTGAACACTGGTACATACAGACGGTTCACATGTACATATGGACACTGTGAGATAGTTTCTGTAGTTCCGCATGTAGTTACACTGCCCTATTGTTCCATATCTCTCTGTTTCCGTTCTTCTACGCTTCTCTTTTGTTCCCTTGTTCTACTTACGGACTTTCTTTGTCTTGAGCACACATCCTGTACAGCATTGTATTCATCTTCTGTCTGGTCTGATCTCTGCGCCATATGTCTTCCCATCACTGCTCACGTATGCTACTCCTGGACAGTATATAGGGAGGACTCTGGCTCACACTGCTCTTCAGTTGTTCTATCACTGACTGAGGAGTAAGTACCTACACTCTTATGTGCTCCTTACACGTATGCTTACTCTATCTGTAGTCGCTCCTGTTCGTGTGTGCTACAGTCAGTCCTTGCCTTACTCAGAGTTCATCAAAGGAAGGAGGATTGTGGGCGTGCGAGGTAAACCCACACCCACTGCCTTGCATGTACACATGTGTTAGGGTGTCGTTTGGAGGTCACGGCAAGATGGGATGGTCAAGGAGGTGAGAGAGGATGCGTAGGGAAAGGTAGAGAACTCAAGGGAAGCTATTTGCATACATGGACTTTACGTGAGAGCCAGTTCCAGCAACCAGCAGGAGAATATGATGGTGAAGTACTTGAAGAGGTTCTTGAGGGTGAGAGAATAGCGTGGTTGATGTGGGGGAGGTCTGCACGGAGTGGCTGGAAGACAGTAAGGCAGGTGAGAACGATGAGAACAACAAGGTGCTGGCAGTGTCAAGCACTGGAATTCACGTGAAGCGCGTTGATTCCCACATGACCCCAAAGTGGAGGCACACTGCCAGCACCTGCCATGTCCTTCATTCATCCACCAATTTCTCCTCCTCTTCCATGGCCTGCTTCCCTTCTCCCACCATTAGGGCTTGACCATCACCCGCAACACTCTGGCTCGTTCACAGTGCATCTTCTCATTCACTCAATGCATCATCATCATCGCCAGGGCTGACCAAAGTATCGGCCATGACATCGCTCTCTGACTGGCTTAGGACGGTTCAGGACTCAGCCTCTCCGACATCCTGCCAGGCTTGGGTCACATCGCCCGCCTTGAGTCTTGGTAGATTATTCACTCTGACCTCACACCCACATCTGCACCCATGTCTGACCTGATAGGAGCTGAGTCGGCTGCAAAGGCTGTGTTGCAGCAGTCACACATGTGTGCAGGCTCACGTCCAGGTGCGCATCACTGTCCTGCCCATAAACAACGATGGTGCGTTGCTCACCAATGCTCATCCCACCACTGCTGCCAGCAGGAAGCATGCACCTAAAGACTTGCATGCACCTACCCACCTTATCCCATCATCACACAATCAAACTCCACAAGGTGTGGGTGTGATACAAAATCCTGTGATGTGACAAGGTGATGAAGGTGTGTCTTTTGCTAAACTCCCCAGGTGTTGTGGTCCTGACAGCCTCTGCTCCATCACACCACTTGTACTGGTAAACAGCTTGAGGCCGAGGGCCTGGTCATGCTGGTGTGTGTGATACAGCACAAGTGGCAGTTGGCCAGGCCCATGCAGACTTACGTGTTGAAGAGCATAGACGGCGTGTGTACACTGCTACCCTCCAGACCTCTGTTCTACGTGACCAGGTGGACGATCACATCAGGTCCATACACACACATCCTGTCAGCCCCTATGTTACCAGTTGTCATCCTCATCATTGTCGTATGGCCAGCACGCATGTGCCCTAGCACGTCGCCAGTCACCATCTACCACGAGCGTGACATTGCTCGACCTCAACAACCAGAGCTCTCGACACCTGTGGTGACCACAGATGTAATACAATCCCCTAGGTACCTGGGAAGTCCATTATGCTGAGGCCCACCACGTTTTCATTGTAGAAAACCCTGGTGAAGCAATAACAATAGCAGCCCTGCAAAGGCCTGTAATACTATGTATGTGTTGTGTTATTATTACAGCTGCATCCCCTGGCTATCAAAAGTGATATATTTAATCACAGCACTTCTTCTATGCCGTTATAACCAACATATCTAATGACAGGACACCCTCTGGGCTGTTAAAAGCGAAATCTCTAATGACAGAACACCCTCTGGGTTGTTATAGGCATATATATAATGATGGCACACACCCTGGGCTGTCAAAAGCGAAGTATCTAATGACAGAGCCTCCCCTTGGCTGTTAAAAACAGAATTCTTAATGACAGAACCTCTGCTGCACTGTTAAAAGTGAAATTCTTAATGACAGGGCCTCTGCTGGGCTGTTAAAAATGCAATTCTGAATAACAGAAACTCCTCTAGGCTGTCAAAAGTAATGTTTATAATGACAGAACCTCCTCTAGGCTGTAATAACTGACGCCAGGGACCCACTAGGACCTACCTAGCTATAAATAACCAGGTGCAGGTAGTGCCACGGGTGGGCATTCTGGTTGGTATAATGGGCTGGAATTGGGGTAAATAGGTAGCTGCAGGTGACTATAGCTGGAATGGGGGGCAATAGCTGGTATTTACCTGTAAATGGCCAGCCTGGGGTGCAGTACAGGGCTGTGATATCATCAGGCACTAGGTATCAATCAAAAGGGGCATCAAACAGCTTCTAGAGAACCAATCTGACCATAGGAAAGGGATGGATGGCATGCAAGGCTTGTGGATGTAGCGATGCAATGGGCGCCTCTGAAATAAACACTGTTAATGCTGTGCTAACCCACACTGTCAGTATGCGCACAGGTGGGGCAAAAATGCGAACTGGGGGATGAATGAGAGGTTTACAGAAAGAGCACACACCTGGGAACAATCTGGCAGTGTTCTGGGATTGATGGGGGATGGAAAGGGAGGCACAGTGACATCAAAGTACCATGGAGATGAGCAAATATATGAAAGCATACCTACCTAACACCCACAGACACCCAAAGCTTACCAGAGAGTTGAAGAGAATGCTGAATCCATCTCACACAGAACTTGGTCTGTGCTCCAACAACCCGGCCACCCAAAGTGGCAATGTCACAGGCATCCTAGGCTCAAAACCACCGCTCTAAATCAGTGCACCGAGTAGGCATGGTACAGAAGCACAGGGACTGTAGGGGGGCATCCTCCCACTCATGAGCACTGACTTTGGCCAAAAGCCAGGCTACAGAGGTGAAGGGTGGATGAGAGTCCCCCAAGAGAGGAGGAGCAGTGGCAGCAGGGATGAGAGTGCGCTGCTGGTGCTTATGTAACCCTTTTCTCACACACCTTATTAGGCGACTGCATATGAGAACATTGCACACCCTCCCTATTGTTCATTTCTTGTCTGTTTCTTATGATTTAAACTATTCCAAGTACGTCTTCAAAGTGGCTTTCGAATTATATATGTTACATAAGCATATTCCCAGTCCCAGTGCTATAACTCAGTCAACACTGCCAAGCAGTAGTTGCTACAGTATAGCAGCTGCAATGCACAATACATAAGTAACATGTACTGTCTTGTAGCCCTCCAAAGAGGTTTCTAATGTACCTGCATATATAGTGATTGGCTCAGCAACAAGCTTATAACCAGCCATACACTATACAGATAGTGTGCTACCAATGTTACTCAACCCATTCCACCACATGCACTTCCTGTATCACATGACATAAATATGAGATCCCTCTCATCAATGCACATTGAACACACCTAAGATCATCTGAGCTCATACCATTAGTTACAACATATAGACCATATGTCATAGTCCTTACAGGGCTGAAACTACTACATTCATATGAGCGCTTTGTTTACATCTAGACTGGCTACTATGCAAAATTGCTTCACAAATATAATCAACATTCTAGGGAATTGATCTGATTTACCAGTAGGCAGGCATAGGTGCAATGGGCAGAGACAGGGCATTACAGCCACTGGTTGTCAAATAACTTACAGAAGCCTCACTTTGCTGAAATCAGCCCTTCACAAATTGAATTAATTCCTATAACTCTTGAGTATATTCATAGCAATAGTACACATAGTGTCTCACTGAAGCCCCCAAAGAGCGCCTACCTCAGTCCAGTTGAATAGGTGTAAACACTAACAGGCACTACAAAGTGTAACAGAGAGTGAATCACTGAGCCAAAGTGGCAGTGCAAACCCAGCGCTAGTGGAACCCTAACCCAGAGCTAGGGTGATGGGAGTAAGTAGAAAAACTATGCATAGGAAGTGGCTGTGCTATTGAAAAGTAACAAAAATCCCAGAGACTAGCATTTTCTGTGTGTCGCACGTCGCAGTCTAAGCCCACCCTATAAAGAACGATTCATTTGTACCTCATTAATCTTAACTATTCAGATATACTTATCCTGGCTGGTAGGAGCTCTACCCTAGCAGTGATTTCTATCTCACACAGGAGCTTACCCCCAATTTCAAATGCTCACGCAATGCAGAGCAAATCCTTAAGGATTCAAAGCTCTTTTACGTTCTGTCCGCTCCTATTGCTGCCATTTTTGCTGGACTTTTCAAGGGTTTCTTTCTGGAGGAGTACAAGCAGTACAAGGCTGTCTTTGAAGCAGGTCACTGGATCACTGAGGATCCCAGACCTTGACTTGGTCGTGTTATTCTCTCTCCAAAGGTCACTGGCATCACTAGAAATGAGCTCATCTACTCATTCAGAAAGTGGAAGGGAGAAGACTATGTGCCAAAAACAATGCACAAGTCTCTGAAGTGGGGTACAAATAGCAGGTTTGATATGGAAGATGTCACAGAGGATGCAGGCTGGCAGATTGTTTCTGGAAAAAATGATCTGATAAGAGCTGAAAAGACAGCACCAACAGATGAGTTTCCAAATAGAAACAAGGTGTCCCAGAAGTATGTGGTAGCCAAGGGAAGCCAGGCCTTGCCTGCAGTGAGCACTT